AGGCGCCACACCGCGATACCTCGCGGAAATTGTTCGCAAACAGTGGCAAACTAGCCGGCAAACAGTGGCCATCGGTAATACGGTCTTCGGTTCGAATCAAGTTAAGAATGAATGTGGCAAGAGTTAGGCGGTGAAATTACGTATCGTGGACCAGAATAACGCTGACAAAGATACACGATTGCACGCTCGTGTACCATTGGTCAACGAAACGGTACATTAGAACACGTTAAAATCTACGCTTTCGGTATTCCGTACGCTTGGTTAGCCGCGACGTGTGAACCACCGTGAAAGTGTAATTAAGACAGCGTTGCTTAACTGCACCTGCGGCTGCATTTCATGCGACAAGTGTCCGACGAGAGCCATAAACGACCATCTAGCGCACTGCTTCCAGAGAGACGCTTAGTTAGTCCAGGTTAAGTTGAAGAAACAAAACAACTTCGACAGGTGTGATCTTCTGGGGCCTGTTGTTTCTCATAATTGCTGCTAATAACAACACAGGTAAGAATAATCAAAATGCGAGTAGGCAAATATTTGATAGACATAAAATACAATTGCAATATTCGGAACAAATATCGCAGATGGTAAACCACTAGCATAGTTCGCTCAGATAATATGAGGGTTATTTAAAGTATGCGAAATGAAGTCCAAATCGAATACGACGCGAAAAAGAACGAAATAATCGAGAGCGTACCACGCCTCACAGAAACAGCGGATGAACGCGAGCTTTTGAGGCATGGTAGCTTAGAGTGCCCCCTACACGTATGAGTAGTTATTTTGAGTTTTGAGAATGAGTCCGAAAATCCAAATTTTTCGACACGAAATCGACAGGAATATTTCTTCATACTTGCCTCGTAAAAAATGGTCCTCCGAATTAGAGTGCGATTTTGATACCAGCGTGTTCGGCATGCACTCTGCTATTATGAGCCTTAATTTGAGGACGAAGATGCAACCGGTACTCCCGTATGAGCAAAAGTAAGATGACAATTTCGCGAGCTTGCCACGCCTCACAGGAGCGGGGGATTAGCGCGAGCATTTGAGGCATGGTAGCTTAGAGTGCCCCCTACACGTATGAGTAGTTATTTTGAGTTTTGAGAATGAGTCCGAAAATCCAAATTTTTCGACACGAAATCGACAGGAATATTTCTTCATACTTGCCTCGTAAAAAATGGTCCTCCGAATTTGAGTGCGATTTTGATACCAGCGTGTTCGGCATGCACTCTGCTATTATGAGCCTTAATTTGAGGTCGCAAATGCAAGCGGTACTCCCGTATGAGCAAAAGTAAAATGACAAATTCGCGAGCTTGCCACGCCTCGCAGGAGCGGGGGATTAGTGCGAGCTTTTGAGGCATGGTAGCTTAGAGTGCCCCCTACACGTGTGAGTAGTTATTTTGAGTTTTGAGAATGAGTCTGAAAATCCAAATTTTTCGACACGAAATCGACAGGAATATTTCTTCATACTTGCCTCGTAAAAAATGGTTCTCCGAATTAGAGTGCGATTTTGATACCAGCGTGTTCGGCATGCACTCTGCTATTGTGAGCCTTAATTTGAGGACGCGGATGCAACCAGTACTCCCGTATGAGCAAAAATAAGATGACAACTTCGCGAGGGTACCACGCTTTGCAGAAACAGCTTATTATCCCGAGCTTTTGAGGCATAGGTAGTTAGTGTGCGCCCTACACATGTGAGTTTGTGGTATTTGCATGTGCTCGGTTGTTATGAACGTTTAATGCGAATTTTGTTGTAATGACTATTTATTATTATTAACAGGTACTGTATAGTCTTCCGTGCTATATGTATTGAAAAAGAATTGTGTGATACGGTAATATTTCATGCTTCTATATACAACTAATTACGAAGTCCGATTATAATTTTAATTGATTAGTCTCCAAAGAATAGGTAACATATTTTCGACTGCTGTGATTGTCTGTACATAAATGCAGTAAGTACATAACGTATACATGAAACCTTCCACTTGATTACTCGTGTCATTAATCATGAATATTTATCCCACCAATAGCTCCACCACAAATTCATCTGGCTATGCTATCGATCCAACGTAAACTACCTCAAATTACCAATGAGTAAACCATCGCAGAAAATAGAGTGAACCGATATGAAACGAAACAATATCCAACAATCAGACGATACTCGATACCCAACACTCTCCAAAGCATTCATTTTTCCGACAATGGACCTCAGTCGCATCAGTCATACATGCGTTACAATTTTCTCGTCGATCGATACATCCGATGAAGTTTTTCCATGAATCATAAAATCCCTCGCCTCATCCAATCAGACACAGCGGAAATGACACGCCCCGCGATCTCCGATCTAGGCAACAGCGAACGGAAGTTCCGTGGCCTTTGGCCAATTTACGCGGTTGCTTTTATAAGCGAGAACTTCGCGGCCAAACGTTATCGCGTTGTTTCGCGGAAATAAAGCTAGCTTTTATGGTAAAGCAGCCGATATCTTCGTTTAACCAACCTCTCCACGTTCGATTTACGAGAAACCGTGGGGTTTTCGCGTGAAACAACGCCGGTTGTTTATCGACGGTCACGTGCCACGATTAACGCGATCGCTATCCGATATTTCAGCGCCTTTATACGAGTCCCTCGGAAATCAGTGCGGTTAAGTCTATTTTCTAACACCCTCTGATTTCTGTAAATTTTAATTCAATCGAATCCACTAAAGACACGATACATTGACATCGAATTTCTATCGTGACCGAAGCAAAAATGGAGGGAAGAGAAGAAAGCACCTAAACGCCATAATAAAATGTCGAATTCTCGGAATGTCTCTTGGCAATTCGATAGAAGTGGCTGAAAAATTCCGTGGCACAACTTCTCGACGGTCTCTCTCTCTCCTCTCCGTTCTCGCCGGAATTTCAGTGGCGAATAGCCTACATCGGTGAAAAATTCTTGAAACAACACTTCCGAGTCCCGAATGCGAGCAATATTCGCGAATCACGACGATGTCCCTGGAGCGGAAGCAAATGGCGGAACAAGGTATTTTCGTGGAAATCGCGAAACGTTCTTTGTAACGTGGCGAATTCGCGACTGGCTGGCCGGCAGAATGCGAGTTGGGAAATATGGAAATAAAAGAGGGCAAAGAGAGGAAAAATGCAGGAGGAACGAGGTCGGAGGAGTCGCGTGTTTAGGGCGTAAATTGCAGAGGGAACAACGCTGGTATTAAAAGCGCGGGAACGGAAGAAAAGGGGAACGAGCAGGTGCGTGGAAATAATGGAAAGTACGTAACGGCTACAAACAACAGAAGCTGCCAGGACTTTTGGATAATTAGAGCGTGGAAACAAAATATGCTTGGGCCAAAGTGTCTGGTTTATTGATGAAGTTAACACGTGCTGTTTGCTCTTTCGCTTCTCGCAATATGCAGATTTAACGGCTCGTTGAAGCAAAGGTACTGAAATTTGGACGATAACGTGACGCAGGACAGCGTTTACTTGCGTGAATCACGTATTTAATCGCTATAAGGAGGTCTGTACACTGACATGTCTCGTGGCCTAGCGTGGAATTGATAGGAGGAGGGAGTCACGGGATAAATACATATATTCGCACACAGCATCGCTAGTAATTAATAATTAATATAACATTTCGGGTATAACAAGTATGCTAAGCTTAACCTTACTCGCTAATACAATCTCTCGAACGCTCTCACTCTCTTTCACACATTGCCACGCTGTCAGCTGTCACTGACCTCTCACAACTCTCTCATACTCCCAATCCGACACGTTAACAACACATCTTTTTTGATTACAACCTTGCTCGCACTCTTACAATCTTATTCAACCTTACACTCGGTCTTCTTTCATACACAGGTTCTCTTCCTCGATCATGCATTTGTCACGCGACCTCGCCCTTGGTGGGCCAGGTGCTTCAAACACGCAGGATGTACTCCAAAATCTTCGCTCCTCTTAGGCTTTCGATCTTCTCGCACGCAGTCACTTTCCTCCTATGTCCCAAACGCTCTTAGCATTCTCTCATGGCCGCACTCGTTCCATTCCTATACTACTGTGATCAGCAGATGCCACAGCGAGGGGTGACGAGAGACTAACGTCGAGTCAGGGCTACAGTTCTCTACAGGTCGACCATGTTGCTTGCTTGATTCTACAACAACAAATCTACAATTAGATCTAGAACTCGTACCGTTTAATTAAAAATACGTTCGTGGAAAAATTGTAAATATATTCGTATGAATGCAAATTATTTTGCTCTTAAAAGTAGTATCGCAATGACGTTTTTGGGACAAAAACCTGGGCCCCGAATGCTAAAGAATGCTTCGTTCCACGGGAGGGGTTCCGCGGCGGGGCCCGTCAACCTAACCTAACCAAAGGGTTAATTTTTCCCGTGATTACATATTTATTTGAATTTTTCCTCCGTCTCTTTCTCCGAATTCAGAATTCACGCGTGACAATTTAATCACTGGTTGAAATTATGCTTTATTCATCTGTACAAATTTGCACTTGTCAAAAGTGTGTACCATGGCAGACGTACAGATCCGTTAACGAGTACGTACGTTTATTCGAGGTCTTAATGGGGGTATAAATCAAGACACGTGTCGTTGTTATTGGCGAATCGCGGATGCACAGTATGTTCTCTGCGCGATTTTCCTGCAGGAATGAATGGAAACACGGAATTTCCACGTTCGAATGTAGCTAAAATTGTAATGGTGCGGAGTTTGCAGATGTCTGCGACCGTTTGTCAACCTGCATACGTACTCGTATTCGAAACGTGCACCGAGTGTACAGGGAACGAGTGTTTACGGACAAAAACGTATCCGCGAGAATTCGTCATCGATGCACAGAAAGCAGATTGAACGACAGGCGACAGATACCCATTTATCTTCGACAAACGCACGCGAACGCAAACGGAAAGCGTGGTTCTTTTACGGCGCCATATTGCCTGAAACGCTGCCAGAGATTGCGAATACTCCAATATAGTAGTAGTAATAGAAGACAGTAGTTGTAGAGACAGCAATAGCACAGACAGTAAGTAGTAGTAGTAGTAGCAGTAGTAGTAGTAATAGTAGAGACAGTAGTAGCAGTAGTGGTAGAGGTAGTAGTAACAGTAGTAGTAGAGACAGTAGTAGCAGTAGTAGTAGTAGTAGTAGTAATAGTAGAGACAGTAGTAGCAGTAGTGGTAGAGGTAGTAGTAACAGTAGTACTAAGGACAGTAGTAGTGCAGACAGTAAGTAGTAATAGTAGTAGTAATAGTAGAGACAGTAGTAGCAGTAGTAGTAATAGCAGTAGAGACAGTAGTAGCAGTAGTGGTAGAGGTAGTGGTAACAGTAGTGCCAGAAACAGTAGTAGCAGTAGTAATAGTAGTAAT